CTTTGTGTAGCCCTGACATTGGAGACTACACTACAATAAATATGATTTACTGGAGGGTTTTCAATAAAGATATGATAACTTTTGCAACGATCCTTGTGACTCTGCATTGTTTTTTATCTGATCTGGCCGTATATAGCACGAGTTTCCCATGTTTCTATTTGTTTTGCAGTTTTCAATCGGTTTTCACCTGTCAAAAATTGATTGAAAGCACAGTATAGTCACTCAAAGGTTATTTCTACCTAAATATGACTAGATTTCCTTCAGGAGATGCATGATTTAAAGATCTGAGCTCACAAAACAGCTTGGAACTCTTTTAAAGGACCATTACAACACAAAATAGCCATTTTGACTTGCAAAAAATGTATTAAAGCCCAAATACTGTCATTCAAAGGGCATATCTGCCCAAATATGTCTTGATTTCATTCAGAAGCATCCTATTTCAAATAGAACAAGTCATTTTTAGGCAAAAATCACCTTTCTTCAACCACATTTGGCCTTTAATCAATTTCTACCAGGGTGTTTTGACCTCAGCCGACTTGCTAGAAACTGATTAAAGCCCAAATACTGTCATTCAAAGGGGATATCTTCCCAAATATGACTTGATTTCATTCAAAAGCATCTTATTTTAAATAGATCAAGTCGTTTTTAGGCAAAAATCACCTTTCTTCAACCACATTTGGCCTTTAATCAATTTCTAGCAGGGCGTTTTGACCAGCCGACTTGGTTGAAGAAAGGTGATTTTTGCCTAAAAAGGACTTGTTCTATTTAAAATAAGATGCTTCTGAATGAAATCAAGTCATATTTGGGCAGATATCCCCTTTAAATGACAGTATTTGGGCTTTAATCAGTTTCTAGCAAGTCGGCTGGTCAAAACGCCCTGCTAGAAATTGATTAAAGGCCAAATTTGGTTGAAGAAAGGTGATTTTTGCCTAAAAAGGACTTGATCTATTTAAAATAAGATGCTTCTGACTTAAAGTATAGCCTTTAAGGAAGTTGGCGGACGTAAAACCCTGAGATTCACACCGGTTCACTGTCCGATTGCTGACTCCGATGCTCCACTTTGCCACATTCAAGATGGCGGCGACGTTGACGTACGATGCAGCCCTCAATGCGGTGTCTATGTATGTATGTCTATGTCTAACACAACCGGAATTTAATGCGTAGAAGAAGAGTCAGAACTTTGACTTCCGGTGATGGTGGCCTTCGGTTCGCCTGGCGCGAAGAAAAATTATTTACTTTTGTTCAACTTCGTCAAGTAAGGAAACTGTCTGGTTTTCCCTAACCAAAGTCTTTTAGAAAGTTATTTTTTAACTTTACGGATGGCAATTTGAATTTAAACTTAACATGGCGTCTTTTCTCTGTATGGAATATATAGGTGAACTTTAGCAAGCATCCAAAAGAATGATTGAACTATTGAATTTATTTTCTTTTGTTGGAGCTGTTTGTCCAAGGTGAGGCAGATGTTTCTGTTACAAAGAAAACTGTCACGCTCATGACTTGTCTTGTAAATCTCGTATATCTATAGACTATACAACCAAGCATGAGTCTTCTCAAAAGAATCGGAACCTTTGGGGTCTTTAAAGCGCAGCCCCATTAGATGCCCGATTCGTGATTTCATCAGCGGTTTGGGTCCATTTCTGATTTTTTTTATTTTCTTTTCTTCCAATGGCAGACATTTATGATGTGCTCTGTGGGGGAGAGTGGTGAAATAATTATCCTCAGTGATGATGATGATGATGATAACAGGGACTCAGACAATGATATTTCCTGTCTCATTGTGGAGGTGAAAGATGAGAAGAAGGCTGGTAATGAAACTCAAATTTTAAACTTTTTTTTTATGGATTATGTTTAAGATAAGTAACAGTTGTTCCCCTGTTGTTCAATCTGTTTTTCAGACTGTGTATCTTCTCCAAGTACCAGTAACCTGGATGAGGACCTGGTTGTTACCTTCGCCCGCCGGGCGGATTTGCTGCCTCATGCTCGCTATGACTGTCCTTTACACCCTTTTACGTGAGCAAATAGCCGCACAGCCTTTGCAACCCAGGACAAACCTTACTCTGATCCAACGACTCCAGCTAATCACGCTGCCTCTGTTCTGTTCTTCTCAGGGCGTCAGAATGTGAGATTATGGTTCCAGTGGCTGACAACCGACTCATTTGTGATCAGTGCTTCTGCTATATCTGCGATAAGCTCGCATCATCGGTGAGTGTCCCATGTAGTTCGTCAGAAGCTTGTGCGGTGTCATCATACTTTCTAAAGGCGAATTGAGTCTTTTTTCCTGCACTGATTTGAATCTTGTCATTTGAACTAAAACAGTCTCCAGCTGCCAAAACCGGCCAAATACATAACTTTTGCCTTTAGGGTTAAACATTGCTGAATGGCCAAATGTGGCACCAATGTAGCATTATCTGTTTGGAGTATGAGTGCCTCCATTTCCTGAGTTTTTGGTGTCACCCCACAGAACGGGAACCGAAATCGCTGGTTTTCTGTTTGAACACATTTACACTTCTACATATTTATTTTCTTTTTAGTGTGCAATGTGGTGCATCAGCGGTGCGTGTCACTGTAACAGCCACAAGAAAAGTGACTTCTGGAACAACCTCAGAAACTGTTTACTGTTAGGAGAGCTGAAGACCTTTAACATCACCCTTACAGAAATAGACTCTCACCTCCGACGTGCAGGTACAGAGTTCATGTCCACATTTCTAAAGGCCCTTTAATTATATAATATAATGAATAGTGTCCATAATATAGTTATTTGTAATATAATGTGAATTGTGTGCAATCTTTTCTCTGGATTTATCCTCCTCACTTCCAGAAACGATGCTGCAGAGCTTCAGACAAGAGCTCTCTGCTCTCTATGCATACTTTGTGTTGGGAGAGGCGCAGGTGCAGGATGGGAACCAGCAAGGCCTCGTCCACAAGTAAGACGCTTGTACAAAAACAAATTGCAAGGAATTATTTTTACTGGCACAAATTTTTAACCTTAACTATTTTATTAACTTGAAAGAGAAAAAAAACAAAAACATTTCAACCATCTCAGAACAGATAGGGTAAGTACGCTAACTTTGTTTTTTTTTTCAGCTACACCCCTGTGTTTGAGTTTATCTCGTCGTTCCTGAACAAAGCAGACAAACAGGACAGCAGGGCTGCGGCCATCTTGAATCTCGGGGCTGCTCGAGAGTTTATTAAACATTTTCAAGTATCGGGGTATGCAAAACATCTGCATTTCTAAATGGTCGAGTCCACTTTCACATTTTTCATTTATCAATTTTTCTTCCCACAACCTTTGTCTACAGGCCAACAAGGCCCTGTCCTGTGGGTGATGTTTCCGAGGCAAAATTGGTGTTACTGGGGAGGTAAAAGCACACGCAGGATCCTAAATTGTTTTGTTTTTTGTAGCAAACTGTTTTGGATATTTACCGTCTTTATCTTTATGTGTGTTGTTTGGTTTGTTTGTTTTTTTCAGAGTAATAACATCTGTGCAGAAACAGATAGTGTTTGCAAATTTTGGTACAGAGTTCATTCAGAAACTGCAAGATTTTTACCAGAATAGAATCTACCTGCCCTCTGAGATGAAGGCCATGAAAAACAGGTGTGTGGGCAGCTTCAAATACAAGTGATGCACGTATTCCACTTTGTTGATCACCTTTATCTTCACCTACCAAGCCTGTGCGTTCGACCCTGGGACGACGTCCTGCTGGTGTCCGTGCTGAAGGGCCAGAACGTGTCCGGCGTCCGTAAGGACAAAGGAAAGAAAGACATCCTGAATGAGCAAATCTCTGTGGTTCTGCTGAGAAGTGAGCTGCTTCAGCATCAGCGCAGGTTCACGTATTTACAGATGTGTGTGTACGCGTTCTTCTGTGTGCAAAAGTCACGCATTAACTCAGCTTTTTTTTTTTTTACCTGCAGGTACAGAGAGTTGTGTCGATATCTACGAGTCGTCCAGACGGATGATGCCAAACTGTGAGTTTACACGTTTCTCTGCTCTTCAATAAAAAGAAAACGTACTAAATATTCCTGCTTGCTTTTAAGTTTGAGTATCTAATGTTTTGTTGTTGAATGAAAATAATTATTTTTTTCTGCTTTAGAGAAGGCCTTTTATAGTTACAGTCCAAATCTACAGGCAGAACAAAGCATGCCTAACAACTGAAAACATACTTTATAGAACGATATCAGGGCTCTGCATGATAAGATCTGATCCAATGAGTCCAGATTTGAGTAATTTCTGTTTTTACTGGACGATGTGCAGTTGCAATAGCAGCTCTCAAGTCCTGACAACTATTGAAAGGAAAACTTTTAAGCCAACATTTGCATATTTAAAGGTTGACATCCTTTTATTGACCTCTTGGGTTTAATTTTTTTTTTCTTTTGCCTGGCAGCTTCCAGCAGTTACAGGACCTCATACCTTTCTTCCTGTGCATGGAGGGCAACTTTGCACAGGCGCTCGCAAGTCTATTCCCTGCCGTAAACGCCCCGGCCTCCCGCTTCACCGCACAAATCTTCCTCTTTTATCTTCGGATCTTTAAAACAGCAACGGTCCCAAAGCTGATCGTCAGTCAGCCAGAACAGCTCTGCCACCCTGACACATCCTGGGAGCCAGTTAAAGGTCAGGCGACCCGCAGCTTACACTGTTATTTTTTAAATCCGTGGAAAAGTTACATGTATATTCAGACTCTCTTCTGTGCAGATGCTGTTCCAATAAAGCACACAGAGCTGGTGAAGTTTGCTCTCAGGGCTCAGAAATGTTCCCCTACTGTTTATGCCAATGTGAGTATGCTTCTCCTGTTTCTATGTTCTATTTGGAAAAAGTCTTAAAGAATACATTACATTAATAAGAAGAAATTACATTGATACTTTAGCTACAGATGCTTCAGCCTGATAGTTAAAGTCTCCCAAGAAAATGAATATTTCAGATAAAATACCAGTTTTGCTTGTGTATAGAAGTGTGAAATCTGCTTCTTTACATGACTTTCATGTCTTCACACTGACTGGACAAGCAACAGGGGGCTTTTTGAGCTGTGAAGTTAAATTAAATCCACGTGAAAGCCACTGAGCTGAACATGTTAGCAGTATATCAGTTCCACTCTGCTGAAATTTACACGCTCCTGCTGTCGAGACAGCTCTGGTCAAATTACTCACAGAATGGTTAGTTTTTAGTTCTCCACAATGTTTTGTGGTCGTCCAACAAAAACTGAACTCTTTTCAAAAGCATGTAAATGCTAGTCTGAGATGTGGACGACCAATGATACTGGCCTCAAATAGAGTAGAGCCGCCTGGAGGACTCAGCTAAGGCTTCAGTCAGTTGCTGACAGTTTTTGTAAAACTCTTACAGTCTCAGTGTTGGATCGGCATACTCACAATCCTCAACTCGCCCTGTGACTCGCTCGCCGCCCTGCCTGAGCCCAGCCCGCAGTTTCTGCTTGTATGTATGACCTGTTTGTTACCATCTTTTGTTGTTGTTTTTAAATGATTCGCTCCTCATCCGGCTCGTAAATGTGTTCACGCTGTGTTTTCCGTCCCGTGTGGTGAAGGAAGCGCGGGATGTGGTGACCACGCTGCTGGTCAGCCAGCAGGGCTCCAGCATGCAGATCCCCCGATCCCTTTGCGAGGTCAGTGCGTGGAGATGTACGCGTTGACGTTGAAACTGGCTGACCGTAAGAAGGCCCGATTTTACTTTGCTTCCAGGTGTACCCGGATCAGGCTTTGCTGCTGCTGGTAACAGGAGCTTTAGTTTTCAGGATCCTGAGCGGGCCTCTGAGTCCAGCACTTCCTGTGCTCAACACCTTCAAGGTAGGCTCCTGCACACTTTCTCTTGAGATACTGCGGCACCGGTCGCCATTTTCAGTTCTGGAAAATGACTTAAAGGTGAACTGAGGATCCATCAGAATAGAGGTTAGTCAACCTTTTTTGTTTTGCAGGACAATTTATGGGCCTACAAGTGGCTGGTTGACACTATGGCGCCAAGCGTAGAACGCCTGAAGTCCTTCTCCTTAGAGATCACACAGGAGATGGTAAACACAGCAGGTAGGATGAAGCATTTGTGCAAACTGATTCCGTGCTTTCGTTAATCAGTAGTAGCCACTTAGTAATATGTTGGCAGGAGAGCACAGGGCAAAAACACTTTGGGTTCCTTTTCCTTTTCCCAAACAAAGGAATCCACCAACAGGAAGCATTTGAACTGATGAATCATGAGTTCCCTCTAGTGGCAAAATTTAGGAACAACACTAACCAACAAACTTTCTGATGGACTGGTAAAACTTATTTTTACTGTAGGAGCACATCAGGGACTCCTGATATTTTCCAGTTACCTGCTAATAGCTACACTGTCTGGGCAAAAAAAGGAACAATGGAAAAAGGTCATGTGGTGTAAGGAGTCAAGAGTGATGGGGGCATCGGGGTAACGAGTGATGCCCCCATCATGCCTGTGGGGGCAGAGCTGTGATCCAGGGTTGCTGCAGGTGGTCAGGTCCAAGTTCAGCTACATTATGTTGAATGAAGAAGGAAAAACTAATGGCAGCTACGGTTTATTCACTCGATAATACTGACATCAGCCAAACATCCCTGCAGATATGGAAACCATGAGCTGGCCTTGTGACTGTAGCTTCTGACCTCTCAAAATGTCTATAAATATTGGTCACAATAGCCCAGCTTGTCAAAAAATCCTAAACTGACTGCAATACTTAGTTAACCACAGAGCTTTTTAAAAACACGTCTTTAAAAGCTCATCGCCGTTTCTCTAGCTAATCGCCGACACTCGGGCTGCACGTGTGTTACATGTCTGTTAATGGCTAAAATCTTGTTGAGTTTTGCCCTCGTTTCCCGTGATGGCCGCCTTTAACCTTGTGCTTCTTTCTCCCCCGTCTGCAGGCATTGCGCCGGATTTTAAACTCGACTCCTTCCAAACAAACGGACCCTCGGATTCCACCGTAAGTTTCACAGCTTAGAGCAGCGGCTTCCTTTGGGCGTTTGCTTTTGGTTTTGTTTAGTCCACTGAGAGGGAAAAAAGGTGGTTTCTATGAGAAGTCCCAGTAAATGACGGCACTACGTGACCCGTGGCATGGGTGTTCAGGGGCGTTTAACGGCCGTTTCCCCTCTGGATCCTCCATATATTGAACATTTAACTGGAGTTGCCTGACGCTGTCATGCATTTCACATTTGAGGCACCATCTTCCAGGAATGAGCATCATGTGACCCATGTACACAGAACTCCTCACTTGTGTCAACAGCGTAAGCCGTGGGCAGAAACATCAGTTCTGCTGTTGTTTCTCCAAGAAAGAGGCGCATGATTTAAAAACTACGCTTGTCTCACTGGGTGGTATTGAGCTCCAATAGTAAAGTTTCCGTCTGTTTACTGTAAATGTGTTTAGCAATGTTTATAAAACTTCTCTTAAAAGTCGGTTTTAAAAAATCCACCAGTGCTTCAAAAATGTGGCAAGTTGAATAACTTGATGTTGATTTATTCCCTTCAGTGAGTGCCATGTGGACGGATTCAGCGTCTTCATCGCCTCGGAGTCCTGAAGCATCTGTCTTTGCTGACCCCCCCCCCCACACACACACACACAGAGTTGCCAACATCCTGGGTGTTTCAGGCCGGGCCTGTGAGCTCGGGTTGGGTGTTGTATACCTGAGAGACTTTAAATGAAACATTTGCCTTAATGACCTAAAGCGGAAAAAAGCTGAATTCTGAACTTTTGGTTTTGTTTATAAATGCTGTTCATGCTTTTTGGACCTACCTTTTGGATATTCACTTTCTAATTATTTGATTAGTAGTGATTATGTTGGTAAATGTATTTACTGCTTTGATGAATTAGATTAAAATAAAATAAACCTATTTAGTTGCAAATCTCTGCAATTATCAGACTGCAGACACAATGAATAGTATGACTTTATTTTTCTGAATGATCATCCACACTGTGAAATAATCTCTTTTAAAAGCATAAAGTGACAAATGAGAACATTGTGAAACAGGTTGTTCTCATAACTGTATTTCTTTTTTATGTTTCAGTCGATTTAAACCAAGTACATTGTTTGTACCACAAAGGTCAAAGCAAAAAGAAAATGCAATATATCGTGTCATATCACACATCGTCAGATCCTGTTACAGAAAACTCACAGTTCCAAGCCACAAAATACAGAGCAATGTGTTTTTGTAAAGATCAAAGAAGTCTGTTATTATTAAAAGCCATGAAACAGAAAATAAATTCATCCCAGGTTAATTTTTTTTTTTTTTTTTTTTGCAAATTCTACAAAGCCAGGTGTCACTGAAATGAATTATATTTCAAACCAATTAAAGATCTATTCAACATGTTTTTCGCGTCACACACAAAACAGGTATGTCCTTTTAAAAGAAACAATGCTTCTCTTAAATAAATACCTATATATTTGACATATTTTGTTTAAACAACACAAAAGGGAGTTTTAATGTGTCATTCTATGAATGGTCCTAGTTTTCAAGAGCCAGACTAAAATGTCCCTGGTAAAACGGAGCAAACGGAGGGAAACAGTGCGGTCACACAAATCAACTCCAAAGAGCCACATGTGGAAACCGGCTCAGGTGGAGGCTTCAAAAATCCAGAGTCGGACCATCATTCTGAAGTAAAAAAATAAATCTGTTCTGCCTTTTAAAACAGAGGTGGCTTACCAAGGATTTTTTTTTTTTTAGCAGCGAGAGGTCACGATTGCTAAGTCGACGCCACCTGAGAGGATGCTGGTTATTTTCAAAGTTAACTCAGCAGTTAGTTTAGAAGTGCCTTTGGCCCAGTCAGACCTGTGAACACATCACAGGCCCTGTGTGGTGACCAATACAGGTTCATTTGGAGAGGAAACCCCCGTGTTATGGAAAAGGAAAGAATAAAACCCAACCGAATAAAACTGCAGGGGTGATGTTTGTGTAGCACTGGATGAGTATCAGATCTTGCAATGCCTTCACAACCCAAGCAGTTGGATAAAAAACAATCCATTCATACCTTCATTTGAAAGAGGCAGTGATACTTTGTTATAAAATCTGTGATTGCTGTGAACTTTGGACCATCAGACACACAATGGCCCATTATTGCTGAAATACTTATGTTTTTTTCCTCATTTTGTAATTGTGAGGTAGATATTCGTATCAGTAGTCATATTTCTGAGTTAAAATGCTACGTTTCTTTTCTGTTTTGTACCTCTTTACAGATATATCTTATTTTCATACTCTCACCAGAGGGCAAATTAGCCTATTTCCCCAGTGTTTTCTGTTAAAGGTTTCAGTCCAACTTGTGAGATTAAGTTCCTGTGTTTTATCACTCTAAGGCCCATTTCAGTATAATTATCATTCTAATTTTTTAGCTCAAAATGTGGAAAATGTCTTGATTTCCCAAGCATTTAGGAATTTACAGTTACATTATATTCAGCAGAGGTGAGGTCTTTTTGATTCCTTAAACTGCACAGTGTTCATTTGAGGCGCATTTATATTAAATCACAGTAAAAAATAGTGCATATGATTCGGTGATAATAATACAGGTAAAAAGTTATAAAGCTCTATGAGGGGGTGCCAGCTCATCGAATTCTTATGTGCCTGAGAAACATGAGTGCACAAGTATCCAGTAAAATATACGGCCCAGATTATTGAAAAGTAGCACAAGAAAATAAACCTAATTTTTCAGTGGTTTCAGGTTCCAGCAGCTGGTGATTAAACCTGAACCACTGGGAGTTATGGGACAGCACTGCATTCCACTGCAGGTTTTCAAACCTGGCATCCAACGTTCATGCTGTAGCGTTTCACACTCTCATGTCGCGTTTGTGTTTTTGTGAAGCTGCACGGAGCTGTAGGAGAACCTTAAAACCGGCGGCCCGCGGCCCGCGAAGCGCCGCAGGATGAGGTCGGACAGGAAGCGCATCACTCGTAAGTCGCTCTCGCTTTTGCAGAGTCCCCCCGGACGCGCGGCGTCCCCCTCCCCTGCGGCCGCGGCGGCGTGCAGAGGAGGCACGAAGGTGTGCAGCAGTACCTGGTTGGCCAGCGAGGTCAGGCAGCCCTCCAGGTGCAGCAGGTAGGTGATCCCGCGGCCGATGCCCGTGTGAGGGTTGGCCAGCGCACTGACCAGGGAGCCGGAGTAAGAGGGGCACCGCAGGGTCCTCAGATCCAGGTCCAGCAGAGCCAGATAACGGCTATACTGGTCCAGGGATTGGATGATATTAGAAGAGGAGGACGATCTGTTGACGGGGGAAAAAAACAGGAAGTGGGACATCATTTTACAGGCTTTCTTCAATACCCGGGTGCATCTCAAAGCATGATCTAACTGTGTAATAGAACAATAAACAGCTGCTGTTTTGCCTTTCCACATCTGAGAGCACACTAAAGAGCACGGTGATGTGAAGGAGAGTTGAATTATTTTACGACGTCAATCAGGATAAAAAAAGCAGCTGCTGGATTTAAAAATGTGAGCTCACGCCGTGGTCAAACAATGGTTACCAGTTATTTGGTGCTGGCCTGGAAACATGGAGAAGGTCTAAGCTGCACGCTGCAAAGTCAAAATCAACTCTCTTTAACCCTATAATGCCAGATGTGTCATATTTGTTTCATACGGTTTCTGAAGTCTTTTGGATCTGAGACTTTTTGCATCATTCAATGGTAAAAGCTTTGCTCAAACCCCTGTTGTACACATTCAGATATACCTGATAACAGTGAGTAGAAGACTACACGAAAACACATATTTGACTTACTGCGCGCTGATTTGATCAAAATCATTTCCGTTTTTATTTCTTCATATTTTGTTGAGGGGCCAAAGAAAGACTTCAGACTAAAAAAATCCAATATTCTTCCTATTTTTTTTTGGATCAGGCTTTAAAGGGTTAATGGCTGTGCTGCAGAATATATGCAACAACATGACATATACCAAACAAAAATGCTGATTACTGGTTTAAACCCTCCAGGAAACCAAAACCAAATTACAAAGCCAACCCTCGAAATGCCACAGAGATGCTAACCCTCACCTGCATACTCCTATCAGTCTCCAGGTGAACAGGTCGGTCAGATGGAGGGGGCCGGTCAGACAGGGCATCGCCGCACCTCCGTCTGGACCGGGCGCCGGGAGGAAGAGGCTGAGCGCGTCCACCAGCTTCCTGACCGAAACCTCGTCCCCTCCGACCACCACCAGCGGCCGGCCGCTCAGCAGGCAGTACACGGCGTGCTGGGAGAACGAGTGCTGCCTGATGAACCTGAGGGCCCGCAGGGCCGCCTTCCTCCTCCTCCTTTTGTCCCTGCGGGCGCCGCCGGGGTCGTTCTGAGTCGGGGAGGGCGGGTCAGAGGAGCCGGACGTCTCGTCCACGCTCAGCAGCCTCAGGGGAGCGCACGGCGGCGGCCTGGACTCGCTCGCCGCCGGGGGGGCAAAGTTCACGCGGAGGCCGGGCACCGGCCTCACCCTCTTATGGAGCTCAGGCCAGTGTGTGTGTGAGTCCACTGCTCCTTCAGCTGTGTGGGGAAAAACAGGGTTAATCACTTCTGATTAACACAATGGAATCCAGGAGCTGCCGCTGTAAATAATAACTGCGTTTTACAAGAGATTAAACTCGAGGTTTGGGTCAGGGTTTGAAGGTTTGATCACCACAGATAGCTAGATGATGGCCATACGATTACATCTAAAAATCTGAGCATGTGTCTGTTTCAAAGAGTGAGAAAGCCTTTGATTCCACATCTTTGCCCGTTCTTTTAGTGTTTCCAGATGGAGATGCTGTTTTTCTCATTCTTCTGAACAGAATAAGAAAACAAAACCACTGTTGACCAACTTTTGACCAACTTTTAACCAAAGTAACAGGCTCACATTGTTTCAGTTATTGGCTGCCCATCAAAATCTGACTACTTGGCAGTTTTCACCTCACTGGGGAGGCCAGTTTGTAGAGGATTACTTTCTCAACGAAAAGTCCATGAAAAGTCCAGGTCGTCTACAGTCCAGGTTGTATTTCCTGTAAATATGGGGCTCAGAAAGTCCGATTTTTGTACAACATGTGTTACCTTGCTGGGGTGTGCACATCTTCTCATGAGTGGTGTCTTCATGGGCCTCCCTTTTTCTCTCAAGGTCTGAATCATCTTTAATTGCGCCGCCGCCATTTCTTATTTGCTTTAAAGGCTCCTCTCTCTCTGCTGGCCCTTCGTCACAGTGTTCATTCTCTGAGTCGGCGGCCTTCAGAGTTTCCTTCTGTGTGTGGGGTTCCTCCTGGCTCTTAAAGCCGTTGGTCAGCGGGTGGTGCTCTGCCTCCTCCTCGGTGATGGCGGTGAGGTCGTCGGGGAAGATGGACTCTGTGGTGCTGAGCACCTCGATGCTGTCCTCGCTGTTGGTGCGTTTGGCGTAGGTCCGAAAGCGACGCACGCCCGGGTCCGAGTGCGCCCGGCGGACACTGCCCTCCGTCATCGGCACAAGTGTTTCTGTGAAGGAGACGGGACTCTGGGTCAGTCTCTCAGTCAGTCATTCTAACGGGAATACGTAAGAACGGAGACGCTGAGCATAGAATGAGCTAATATCATTAGCAGAATTGAATTTTCATTAACCAGCCGACACCATAATCTAAACTCCTGCTCTCTCAGATGAGAAGAAATGTAGCAAATAATGACTTTTTCTTTCCAACAATCCCTCATTATGTCCAGAATCAAACCTCATGTGCTTTTGAAGCAATGTTTAAATGAACCTGTCAGATAAACCATGAAAAAGCAACAGAGCTTTCCAGGAAAGGAACTGGAACTGCCCACGGCGGCTCCATCATTTCCTCCACCGTCCACCCTCCGCTGGACGTACCTCTGCTGTCAGGCCCGGCGCCGGCCTGCTGCGTCCGGTACGACCTCTCAGTGCCCAGCACCTCTATGCTGTCCCCGCTGCTCGCGCTGCCCGTCATCTCCGCGGCGGCCAGGAAGTCCGGAGTGGCCGCCCTGGCTTCCCCGGCCACCAGTTTGATGGCTATCTCCTGCACGCAGGAGAAGAGCGTGTCCATGCTCTGCGCTTCGGACCCGGCTCCCTCCTCAGCACCCTTCTCACTCCCGGACTCTCTCCCGGCCTCGGGGCCCTCCAGCTCTTCCTCTTCGGGGTCCTCGGGGCTCCACAGCTCAAACAGGAAGTTGGTGAGCCTCAGCTTCCTGGACAGCGAGCGGACGGCGCGGGCGGTCCGCAGGACGCTCCTGTCGCCGCGCAGCCGGCGCTCCGTGTCCGCCAGCTGCTCCTTCACCAGGGACAGGAAGTAGGCGTTGCAGAGCTCCTGCAGGGGCTTCAGGTGGTGCTCGGACCTGCTGGAGGCGGAGCTCTGGAGGGAGGGGCGGGGCTCGGGGGCCGGCGCCGCCGCGGGGTCGCCCGGGGAGTCGGCGGGGTCGTAGGGCAGGAAGTCGGGCTGCTTGAGCTTCCTGTTGGGGTAAGACGTGACCTGCCGGAGGAGCTCCCTGTGGTTTGAGATGGAGCGTTCCACAGCTTCAAGCTCCTCGTTTTTCCCTTCGTCCCCAGTGGAGACACCTGTTGTTGTTGTGAGTTCTTCTACCTGGAGCAGAGTCAGTCGTTTGTACCTGGAGCAGTGAGAGAGGATGATGTTCTGTTAGAAGTGCAGACAAAATTGAGATGCAGTCCAATCTAGAGGTAAGGATTTCTAATTTTCTACATATTACTGTAGCAAGGCGACAGAAAAAAACACCTGGAGATGAGATTTTCAGACTTCGTTTTCTCCATCCAGACATCCACTAAAAAAACAAAATCAATCCTGGGCTGAACATATGCTCTGTTATGCAACTGGGGGAAAACAAATCAGATTTTACAGCTGTTCTGGAGCTTTTGTTCCATTAGTCTGTCAGTCCATTAGTGAACCAATAAAGACTGTTTCGACTGGTTCGTTTAAGTACTAAAAGGCCTGAACAACATTTGTCTGGTCCGGTGTACTCCGGAAAATAAAACATGTACTAAAATGTTTGTTTTTCGCCTTCGTGTGTTCTCCAGGAAACAAGCCGGAGCCTTTCTCCTAACAGAGCAGAATTCCCCCTCTCTGCAAATTATCTGGCCTTTCATTCAGGGAGTTTAGATTTTTTGTAATGACTGTGAAGGCTGCAATAAATCCTGATAATGGAGTTCACGATGTCCGATAAATTGATTCATTTAACATCATTGTGATGGAGGTTTTTATTTTGTTTAATCTGTGCAGTTAAAGAAATTTACTCAATTCTGTTTGTTTATCTTAATCTTTTTTATACCAGACCAGATGATGAATGCTTTAGAGGATCTGGTCACTAAGATTTCTGTCAATCTGTCAATCATTTCCATCTAATCCAAAGCACATAAACTTCTAAATTGTTCATTTCCCCATTTTTTTTCTATTTTCCTGGTTCAACGCAGGCTTTTTCTTTACAATGCATCGAAAAAATGTGAATTTGCGACCAGCCTTTTCTGACAGACTAAAATCAAACACATCTGCCAACTCTTCAATGATACTTCAGTCCTTTTAACAGCTGTTTGAATGAAACCAGACATTTTCATCTATGAAACACTTTTAAAAAAATCTTACTCGAGCTCTTGCAGCTTCCTCTGCAGTTCGGCGGAAAAGGCTTGTCTGTTCCCCGTCTTGAGGCTGTCGGACGCCTGAGAAAAGCCCGCCGACAGCTCCGGGAAGTTCTCCATCAGCTTGGTCTGGTCTGAACAGACGTAGGCCATGCAGAAGGGCCGCACCATGCCCCGGGCCTCCAGGTCGTACAGCGTCAGGTGATGGACGTAAGCGAAGGAGTCCTCCGCCGAGTCCCCCAGGATCACTTTGGAGTCCTCGTGGAAGTTGAGGCGGGGACCGGGCGAGGCGGGGGGGGCGAGGCAGGGGCCCGAGGCCTGGTAGTCCACAGACATGATGCGAACCGAGAAGTGGTTGAGGTCAAACGAGCCAATGACTCTCGGGTCGTCTGGTATGGTGAGCACAGGCTTTGGACCCACCTAGACGTAAAGGACAGGTCAGTAGTGATGAAGGTCTACTAATAACACATCTCTAAATTTGATGTACACAGTCCATTAATATCCTCAACATGGATCCTGAGCCTTTTCAGGATTTGGACATTTACTCACTAACCTGTTTGTGTATGATCAAACACCTTTCAGCTATCCTGTTCCATCATTTTTGTGCATATTGTTTTCTTTTTTTAACCAAACATGCACACTTTAACTTCCCTTAGTTTACTCAACTAAACTGTGCATAATGAATACCGTCTTTTCAATCAGTGTAAATAATGTCTACGTTTCTGATGCATTTGTTAAGCCTCATGTGAAGCAGCCCAATGCAAGATAACAGCGTTATCTTTCAGCTCTGAACTCTTCCTATAAAAACCTAATTACTCAAACCCTTAGTTTCCTTCTTAAGTTTTTTATTCGCTGGTGTGAGTTTAACTTATTAAAATAGTTCATTCATTTAAAATGAACTATAATGAATTGAACTGTATCTTTAAAGTCCCCTGACGTGTCTCTCTTCCTGTTTAGAACAAGATCGCTAATCTTAGTGAGGTGTTGTTCAACAATATATCTAACAAACCTCAATAACAACTTCCAATCTAGGGTGATTATGTAATCACTCCGATTTGTCCATTAGTGTGTTGTAGACTATTCAACATTAAAACATAGTTTAAGAGCACTAAAACTAAAGAAAAACTTAAGCTTGTTCGTGGAGGGAAATGAAAGTGGAGCATGCACTGGTTCCCTTCTAACCGGTCTGGAGTTTAACGTTGGACGTGGTTCCTCTGTGGAACTGACTTTGCATTCGTGAGAAGAAAGATCTTTACTTAAACACTGGCCTTTCTTAAGAAGATTCTCTTATCTCAAAAAGCACTTCCTGAAAAAATTCAACTGACAATACATTAGTGAGTATATAGAATTAAGCATTTTGTGGTTTGCTGGATTCTTTTAAAAGCTCAATGGACGACTGTTTAACATCTAAAAAGCTGGTTAAGTCATTAAAATATTTTTTCTGAATCCATAAAATGTCATATGGCTGGACATTAACTGAAGAGGACACAATTCCATGGTGACATCCAGCATTAGTACATCATCTAATGATCATACCTGTCCAGTTTCAACACTGTTTAAGTTCATGTTTTGGTCTAATCTTTTATCTGTCAGTGACACAAAATGATAAGAAAACATATATATTCTTAATCCATTAGAGAAACACACACCTTCTCTGAGAACTCAGCCACCAGTATGAAGTCCCTGTGGAAATGGGACCTTGAGGTCCAGGGATGTGAGGGGGGGAACAGGGGGACGGAGAACTCCTCGGGCATGTCCTGAGTCTCCTGCTCCTCTCCTCCCTCCCAGAAAGCCTCGCTGCTGGTGAAGGCCAGCAGGTCCGGAGAGCCGATCATGTTCACCCTGTGAGGGGGTGGGTGGTGGGGTGGTGAGGGGGTGGGTGGGGTGTCAGGCCATGGAGGATATCAGTGTCAGCCGAGAAGCTCCGGTCCGCTCTGGAGGATTCCACTCCCACTCCACCGCCAGGTCCCGGTCCCCCCCAAAACCCCCTCCGCCCCCCCGGCCTCCTGTCAGTGAGTCAGCTGTTCCCGCAGGGAGACACAACAACCGGGGAGCTTCACAAAAACACAGAAAACACTTGCTACGCAGTTGTTTTTCAGCCGGGAGACGGCGTGGAAGAAAAGAAAAACGTTTGGCCGAGCACACACCTAACAGCCGAGCCGTTTCATTCCAGCTGGAGCCTCGTAAACAAACGCGTTTCCCAGAAACGTAGAAGAAGAAAAAAAAAAAAAACTTAAGAGGGAAGTGAAAGTTCCCGGCGGCTGGCAGTCACACGGTTTCCTAACCTTTGTCCAGGGATTTTGGGTTCCGCTTTCTCGCAATGAGAAGACTGTTTCGGTTAAAAAACAAAACGCTCCGCCGGGCTCGCGCCGGTACTACGGAAGCCCGGAGGCGCACAGCGGGCCATGTGACACCACACGGTGACCGGTGTTGTGCGAAAAAGTGAATGTTTGCGACAATCTGATTAAGCTTGCGGGAGCGCGCACCGCAGCACGCTGAGCGATACCGTAAACCTGCTTTTCTCTGGATTAAACGGTCATGACATGCAGATACACACAGTTGCATTATAATATAGGCCTAATTAAATGATAATATAGGCCTAATTAAAGATTCGAAAGCTTAACGTTTGTCACATAACGGCAGTTACGTGACAGACATGT